TTTCTGGCTATTGCCCTCATCAGCGCGGTGCAGCCAAGTGTAAAGATGGGCAACACTTCTTTGCCGAAAGCAGGAAACAACACATACCCACGGAGTCAACAACAGAAGTCAACCGCACATTTGCGGTTAGAAGACCTAGAATTCCCAGTGACATGACATATGTTCGTGGTTATAGTGATAAAAGCTGTTGCCAACTTTAAATTGTAAAGAATTCTTGGAAATTTCTACCTGTGTGTAGATTTTAAAAGTGAATTTAGGATAATTACATTTGGATTAAAAATATAGAGTACATTATTCTATTGATGCTAGATTTGATAAATTCACTGAAATATTGTTTTATGGATTTTTATCCAACGTCAAAAGATAGGAATATATATCACTGAGATGATTGATATCTATATGATGGAATCGGCCGATACTGGATGAAAATCCATAACTAACGTATTCCAAAAACACTTTATTGTGAGATTTTCACTAAATTGTTTTACTAAAACGCAACATGTGTTTCGCCATACAATGGCTCCATCTGGCGTGTCTTTCAAACTTCTCTTCTAAATGTAACACCTCGTACTCATGATTGAACTCATGTCCTTCTGCTAAAAGATGGTTTGCAAATGTGGAATTGGTCTTTCTATTTACAAAACTACTCCTATGTTCTTTAATTCGTTGGAAATATACAGTTTTGGACAAGAGCCACAAGTCAGCTTATATACTCCTGATCTATTCGACACAAAACTTTGGTGTCGGATAGATCAGGTACAGCAAGGTACGAAATCTGTTGGTTATAATGTTATAAATAGTAACCCACACATTCCTTTAAAAAATCAGGAGATTTTGATACGCACGCACTTATTGAACTTAAAATATCTTGAAAAGCGTTGATATTTGTGAAACGAAACTCATCCCTTTTTTGTGTAGGAAATATTCGGGATTAAGAAAAAGAAGACGAAATCGATATTAATTCAATGGCGTGAAATTTGGGGAGGGGCGATTAGGGGCACCCACCTGCCGTACGCTTTTGTTTGAAGTAACGAACACATAATTTGCATTGAAATTTGGAACTGAATGCTGTCATGTGACATACCAAATTTCATTAAGAGAAATTGAGCCGTTATGGATTTAATCTGGAAAACATACATTTTTTGTCACTTTCAACACCCAGTAACTCGGTTATTATTCATCTTAGGGTATATGTTTATTGTAACTTTTAGCCCTAAAATAAAGTGAATATTCTACCATCAGAGTTTTTCCCCTATATTGTGGGACACCCTGTATATGGGCATACAAATTTTACCAACGAGAAAATTCTGTCAATTGCACAGAAAATCATATCGATAATTCAATAAACAATCCACAGGAACATAGACAGAATTTCCCATAAGAGGTGACCGACATTCAACAACTGTTTTGGTCAACCCTGTAGACACACGAACGAAATAATTCTTCTGAAAATTTCGATCAGATTTGTCTGAAAAAAATAAAACCCAGAAATCAATAGAAAATACGCATGTGTAGACAAATTTCTTGATATATATTAGACATTCAATGCTTTTTGTGGCTCGCCCTGTCCAGTTACAAAAAAATTCCACGAACTAAAATCGCTCTTCTTGATCACTGAAATAATACCTATATCTAAAAATTTAGAAAATCTGACGACCTACAGAATTGCATGTATCAAGAGTCATGTCCTTGTCAGCATTCTTGTTCGACAACGTTTAATGACATATTTCACCATTTAGCAAAAGCACACTTGCGAAACAAATTATAAGGAACACTAAAGATTGGGATGTAATGTTAACATATGTCTTGAGGAATGCAAGGTGATACGAGATCCACAATAACGCCAAATTTACCGGATCTCAGGTTTACCGTAAAATGCATATTGAGCTGATACCAGTGTATGTTACTGCCACACCCTCTGTAGGCAACATCGAGGAACATCTGAAGTATAAAATTGCATAAAATGGGACCAATGTGAGATCCCAACAAAAATTCAATCATGCCTTTCCCCAATGAAAAGTCAATAATTCATTCTTTATTGCACTTCTCAAACAGTTAAACTTTGATTTACTAAATACGAAAAATTTAAACGCAATTAAACTAAGGGAAGGAGTTATACGAAAGTAATTTCACATTTACTAAATATCTTTTATGAGGTATGAATGAACAAAATTACTTCAGAAATCAATTTAGATTTTGTTGCCTAGAAAACTAAACCGTAAAAAATGCTAACAAACATCTGTTGAAATAAAGTTATAATTTAAATTAAGAACACTAATTCAAATCGAAACATATGCCTAAACCATGTAAATACCAATAGAAATACAAAATAAAAAGTCACATTCCGGTGTGCCTTCCACCACATTCAATGCAATCGATTGTCCTTTTTAAAACATCTTTAACTGCATTCTTTATACTACGGGGTTTCGTGCTTCCAACACATTCTCGAATAACTGCCTCTAAATGGTTTATATCTCGAAAAGGTCTTTGCTTATACACCTTTTGTTTTAAGTAACCCCACAAGAAGAAATCTAGTGGGGTTATATCAGGAGATCTAGGCGGCCAATTTTTTTACTTGTTTCAGGGATTTCAAATCATTTTATATAATTGACAATGGAAGTCCGAACTAGTGAAATTCATCACGAAACATTGTCAAATACTTATAAAATTGTTTCATTTCTGATGTTTCATATTATAAAATTAAGAAAAAAATACGGGCAGTTTTGGGAAGGTACCAAATAACGCTACACAAAATGATAAATATTGGTATTTCTCTGAAGTGTTTCTATTCGATTTCTTCATATATATAATATGAATGAATATTCATAAGTATTTTCATTTCATTACAAATGTACTTGACTATGATTTACATCCAGTTTTCAAGTATTCCCACTGAATATATGTGAAAGAATGCTTGACAATAGTTCTTGTTGATAGAAATTTGGACATTGATTGTTTAAAAAAAACACAGGAATTTGTAAAGTTGAAAAAATGAAGCATCTAAAATGTCCACGACCGAAATGCTCGTATTAACAGTTTAATGAATAACTGAAATAATATTGGAATATGAGAAAAAATAATTGATAACTATGAATTGTAGAAATAAAAGAAGGCTAATTTTAAATTGGTGTATCTGCTACATATAATAAATTAACATTTACAGTAAGAAACATTTCAACAGATTCCGAGAGATTTTCCTTTGTTGATTGAAATCATCAAAATAACTCTCAAAGTTACATATCACTTGAGAGAGTGAATCTCACCTCCTCCGTTGACATTCTGTTCGTTGTTGACGCCAATGTTATGTTTAGAACTTCTACAGGAACCGATGTAGTGACATTTTGTTTGGCGATAACAGCTCTTGTCGATAGTTCTTCATGTGTTTCGGGCCGTTGCTGTCTAATTGGCGACCACCCATTTCCTGTAAATACAGAGAACACTTCGGTAAGGGTCAAGTTGCATCGATTTATAAATCGCGCTACATTCAACGTTCAAAGCTCATTGGAATTTGATTGAGTGACATTCACTTAGTTGTAGTATATGAAGAATGATTACCGTCCCCTAAAATGAAATAGGCAATTGCACATACTTTTTATTGGCGAAAAATAACCATCGAAGAGGAGTATTTATTCTTCTGAAATTATCACTCCTTGATTGCCCGTTACTGTTTGAAATCGAAACCATAATTTCGTGTGTTTTTGGGAGATATATTCAATAATAGAAAACGACTATACACCTGTCAATTTGTAAAAAAAATCATCGTTTCACTGATAAAGTACTTACTTACAGTTGAGACGTCTACATAAGGCGCGACGGGTATTTTTTGACTTATTGGCTCAAAGGCGTACTGTTTATATGTGGGCAAACTGAAACTACAATTATACTAATTATACAGGAATGAGTGAAAGAAAATTGTCACTTTTTTTAATTCAGTTTAAAACTGTTTGAAATATGTTTTTCTATTAACCAGCTGTCGCACCCCTACGAACAATAACCCTCAGAAGTCGAAACTTGTTAAAAAGTAAGAACTCGTTAGTCCTCAGCTCGCACGTGTGATTCCTAACACGGGTTGGGTGATAGCAAGTGAAAATAGATCGTTTAGCCTGCGGTTTGAACCACCGACCAACACGGCGGTTGATTTGAGCAAGTGAACAAAGCACCCAAGTCGAACCGACCGGCTACCGACCGATCAAATTATTGGACAATATACCAATAGACCATAGACAACATTTTATAAATGTTTCATTACTTCAAGAAGAAACTAAATGAAGCAGCATTCCAAACAGAACAAGAAAACCCAAAATTTCAACATGTTTTCCATGATCTGATTTCTCATCTGAAAATAATACATAGTATTATTTTCATATATACATTTATTTCTGTTAAATAACACATTTATATAAATCGAATTTAACTTGGTTTTCACATCCTACTTGAGTGAATTAGTGCGTTTCAAATTAGTTTCAGATTTGTTTGTACAACATCTCCGAGTTGAATTATCAAATTACTCTGTTTCCTATATTCCCTTTCGACTTGATTGTGTAGAATTCGTAAACACATTATCCACTCGGGTAAGTTTTTTGCTTTAGCAGAAACTCAGTGCAGGGTAGAAACATACATTAACAATGGATGGTACTTGAAAGTACTGATGATCATAATTAGTACAAAAAAGGTCATACTTAGCGTTCAAACAACTGTGATTTCTGCATTGAAATAATATTTTTTTCCTATTCTTGTGAAAAATAAATTTATGTTGGCCATATAAATTGCCTATATTTCATGTCATAGGAACTACTCATATAAATTATACCCCACAAAGGAGTAACTTTCGGAGACAAACTTCCAGTTTGGAAGATTCACACATTTTTTGTATTAACACTGTCTTTCTCAAAAATTAATCACTTCTTGAAATATAATCCTATCAATTCAAATTATACCCTATTCTGTAAAACTATATATCTGCTCAGGAAAAAAGACTTTCACGACACAGGCTCATTCGAATTCAGTGCGTACCACTGGTGATTTTGTTATTGTTGATACGAAATTGACAAATCAGTAACACGTTTTTTGCGGTTATTTTGGATCAAGAAAATGAAACGGTTGAGAGAAGTATTTATTTTAACGCAAAACCATATATGTATTATTATTTGCTGGAGATATTTTTTGTGCCGTTGAAAATAGAGAAAATACTATACTGAATTCATCGAATTAACGATATCTTCAGAAAATATACCGAAAATTTGAAAAAGAGCAAGCAGAATTCCTTAATTAGCAAGACCACTGAAGTTGCCGTTGTGGGCTTAGTTATTATAAGAGGTAAATCAACTGTTGTGTTTCGTCATATAGAGTGGCACCAGAAGTGTCGATGAAGCATCTTTACTCAACTTACAGAGGAAAGTTTCAATGGCAATGAAGGCCGTTCTTCAGAAGTTCCTATTTCATTCTTAACGTATTCAAAAAACACTTCATTGTGAGATTTTCAGTAAAGAGTTTTCCAAAAAGGCAACACGTATTTCGTCATATAATGGCTTCTTTGGGCGTGTCTGTACAGATAATTTACTTGAAAGCCTGCAGTTAGAAGATCAGGTGGACAAAAACACAGAATCAGAAATTCCAACAGCAGCATTCGATGCTGACAATTCAAAGAAATCATAAAAATATTACCAAAAACCTGAATATCAAAGTACCTATATCTATTGAAGAAAGCACGAAATTCACCAGGTACAATATACGCAAATATTTGCTTACTGATGGGTGGGAGAATAATAGTATTAATAACTTCATTCGCAATAACAAAATATATATACTAAATTCCAATCTTTTACAGATTTGCAAATAGAATACTTCAGTCATTTAGCTTCTGGTGAACCTGTCTGTGACAACAATTTACAAGCAGCTCGATTATAATTAATGAATTTGATTAATGAATACTGCCAGCGAATCAAGTTTCGAAAAGATGTACAACAGAAAAGTGATGTACAAAAATGAAATTTCGAACCACTGTTCTATCTGAGGTATGTGTTAACTGCATTAACCTATTTTTTTATTCATTTTTTCCTACTAGGGATCAATTATAACATGAAAAAAGGTTCTATCCGTTTTGAGAACCCACTCTTTAATGTTCTTCTTGAAAATATATTTGCCGTAAATAATTCTTATACTTATATATTAGGTCTAGATATATAAAAGCTCATTGCCCTACTGCTTTCTGTGCTCTTGGAATTTTGAGATAATCTGAAACTAATCCCCTCGTTTGATGAGTAAAATTCAAAATATGTTTGACATATAATTGACGAATATCCATGATTACTAAACCCTCATATAGCTGATCAGTTGGGAAGGTCCTTTTTTTAAATATCATTCTTTCAAGTATTTTTTTTTGTACTACTTCCAGTTGTTTCAGGTAAATCTTCCTAACACCGCCCCACCCAACTAATCCGTAACTCAACAGAGAATCTACCAGAGCAAAATAGATGACCTTTATTATTGATAATAAGTATTTGACGACATGAGTGAAATTTATAGAAGATTGCTCTCATTTTGCTTTCCATATTTTCAATAAGAATATTCCACTTCAAGAAGGAATCTATGCATATCCCTAGATACTTCACAGATGTTGTGAGTTCTACAACTTATTATTCTGTATCTGGGTAAATATGATATATGTGTTTTATCAATGTATACTGTCAATGAATTATTTTTGAACCATGTTGTTATTTCATTCAAATCTTGATCTTCTATCCTCTTAACTTCATCCCATGAATCTGCTGTATATAAAATCACCGTGTCATAAGCAAATGAAACAATGTGTCCGGACAACTTCAACTTTAGTAAGGAATTCAAATGAATTACGGAAAGAACCGGTCCTAGGACCGTAGCCTGAGGAACGCCACATGAAACTGATTCCTTCGAAACCATAACTCCATTTATTTCGACACGCTATTTTCTACATGTTAGGAAGTTTCTGAACAAATCCAACACCACTCCTCTCACATCAAGATGTTCCAATTTATATATCAAAAGCTCGTACCAACCGTGTCGAAAGCTTTTGACAGATCTATGAAAACACCCAAACAACTTTTCTTGGTATCAGCAGCATTATATATCATACAAGTAAGCTTTGCAATGGCGCCTTGGGTGCTTTTGCTTTCACGAAAACCATGTTGTGTTTTCGAAATAATGCTATTTTGGTTCAAATACTTCACCCATCTTTTTTTGATTACTTTTTTCAGTATTTGGTAAAGGAGAAGTTGAGGATATTGGTCGATAATTTGATACATTTGTTTTTTCTCCTCCTTTGTACAAGGTTTGATAGTTAGCAGTTTTGAAATGCTCTGGTACTTTACCTGTTTACATACATGAATTAAATATACAGGAAGGTGGTTCAGACATATAATCAGATAAAAGTTTGATAATTTCATTTTTTATTTTGAACGGTCCAGGTGCATTTTTTAGGTTCAAAGCCCTCATTTCCTCTCTATCATAAAGTTTTAAGGAAAATATTTATTCAAATGTTAAAAATGTTCATCTTTTTCTGGATTTGTAATTTTTTCTTTTAATTGAAAAATAATTATTTGTGTGATTTGCTATTTCAAGCGAATTTGTAATTTGAGTATTTTCGTCTAATTTGATTTTCATGATACCTTCGTGTTTATTTCGATAATTATTCTTTTCTATTCTTTTTCAGATTTCACGATATCTGAATTGAAAAAGTCCTGGTTAGTTCAGCAATTGATTTGTTCAGATTGTTTCTATAACTAACAATTTTTTTGCCGTTATCTAACGGATTTTTTATGTACATATGAAATGATTTATCATGTGTTTTCATTGAATTTATTAGGCCCTGAGATATTTATGGTTTCTATTTTCTCATTTTCTCCAAGTAAATGTTGTTGTCGCGGATTTGTTTGAACTCTCATATATGTTATATAATATATCAATAGCTTTATTTGAATCTGAGTTTACATATATTTCATCCGAACATTGATTTTCTAATAGCAGTATTATTTTTTATTCGTCCAGTTTCTTGTGAACATTTTGACATAGCTGATTTTCCTATTTGGGAAAGAAAGTTTTTGGCTTTCTTTTTTTTCTTTCCCAAAAATGAATCACTCCTAAAAATATAATTCGTTCAATTCAAATGATTTTTCTTCTCTTCAATACTACTAATATAACTAATACTGGATAATGATTTGTTATTGCTACTTTATGTAGGACTGAATATAAATAATGAATGTCATTACTTTTGATGAATTGATGGATGTAGCTGTTAACGTGGTAGGAAATCATATTGAAAAATGAAATTTTCTATGTTTTTTACCACTTTCATTTGTAAGTAACGTTACTGCAGTTTTGCACTATGAAAACATTTTCAAACTCATACATTAAACTAAAAATGATTGATTACATTAGCCCCCATAT